ACTAGGTGGGTGTATAGGTCCACATATATCCACTTGTATCCTTTCCAGAAAATTTATCATTTCATTATTCACCTTTGTTGGTGATGGCCTAGTGATCAGTTTCCCTTGTGAACATGGCATACATGAGAGGCCCTTAGGAATAACTCTTTTACTTTTCAAACTGTGCCCATTTGAAGTAACCAAGAGTTTTCGCATCATGCTTGAACTGGGGTGCCCTAACCGGTTGTGCCATAAAGTGTATTGTTCTTTAACCTCATTGTTCATAACAATGTTGGCCTCGACCAATCTTGTCTCAGCATGGTATAGCCCATTACCAGCCGCAGGTATGGTCTCCAATACCTTCTTATTGCCTTCTTGGGTGATTTCAAAAATCTGAAGGAATTCCTTATTTCCTACACCCATTGTTTCAATATGGAAACCATTTTGTCTAATGTCTTTGAAACTCAAAAGACTCCTTTTAGAACTTGGTGAGTACAATGCATCTGGTATTTCAAGATGAGTACCACTAGGCAATAAGATATGGGCCTGACCATTTCCTTCAATAAGGCTGGCCATTCCAGCTATGGTCGAGACATTTCCAGCCTTAAGTCTAAGACTGATGAAATATTGTTTGTCTCTCAAAATGGTGTGGCTGGAACCACTGTCCACCACAAATATGTCCTTTCCATTTTTCATTCTTCAAAAACAAGTTAAGAATCACAGAATTAAAATAAACACCAAAATAATTCATTCATAAAAGATTCTTAAAAAAAATATTCCAAGTCAAGAAGAATTAAAAAAAAAAACATAAGTAGGACATAAAAGAACACCATAAAATAAAAACACCAATGCAATTAGAGAAAGCAATTTTATTTTAAAACATCAGAAGTCTCATAGTCCATGTGGTCAACTTGACCAGACTCCCCTTGGTCGGATTTCTCAGACTCCCCATGGTCTGGTTCGTGGGACACTTCAAAGTCTTCATACTCGAAGTCTTCATCATCACCCTCATACCCCTCATCTTGTACCATGTGGGCTTCTGGTTTGTCCTTTAAACGCTTGATCAGGTGATCAGGAGTTCTACAATTCTTAGCCCAATGATTGCCCAAACCACATCTGTGACATAAGTCACTTTTCCTTTGTGATTTAAATGCCTTACCCTGGACCCTTCCGCGACCACGGCCAGAGCCGTGTTGGCCCCTGCGGCCTCGTCCACGTCCATGGCCCCTAAATTGGCCACGGCCTCGTCCATGACCATTCCCACGGCCTTGGCCGGATTGGTTCTTATGCTGGACAAGGTTGGTTTCTTTCTTGACCTCATTGGTCTGTTTGGACGATTCAGGTAAAGGCTTTGTTCCTGGGGGTCTTAACTCACTGTTTTTCATCAGCAAGTTATTATTAGCCTCAGCCAATAATAATACCTCAATTAGATCAGAGTAGGTCTTAAAACCTCTTTGCCTGTACTGCTGTTGCAGTATCATATTGTCAGGATGGAAGGTACTGTAAGTTTTCTCCAGTAATTCCTCTTGACTCATTGCTTGGCCGCATAGGGTCAACCTTGCCACTATGTTATACAACGCTGAGTTATACTGATCCACAGACGCAAAGTCTTGGAACCTCAGGTTCTTCCATTCAAAGCTAGCCTTAGGCAAGATGACCGTTTTATGGTGGTCATACCGGGCCTTTAAGGCTTTCCAAAGCTCAAATGGGCTATCCTCGGCCAAGTACTGATCTTTCAGACTTTCATGGAGGTGATGTCGGATCAAGAACAGGGACCTATTCTTATCCTTTTCAGAGCAATTGTTGCCTTCAACAATAGTCTCACCAATCCCTTTGGATTTGAGAAGGATTGTTGTATCCAAAGCCCACTTTAGGTAGTTGTCACCAGAGACTTCCAAAGCAACATATTCAAGGTTGTTAAGTTTAGACATCTGAAATTCATAAAACTTAACATTTAGACCATTTTTAAAAAAAATCAGACCACATTAGGTTCAAGCAAACAAAGTCCATAGAGAATGATGCAAGCAACCTAGTGCACGAGTTCTATATGGTCATATGGAAGCAAGCAAAGTGAGCAAGTCATTGTTAAGCATTAGCAACCAACAAATAAGCATTATCATATGATCCGGTTTTTAATAGAACTCAAATTAACCAATTCCATCCTAGCATGAGGTTTCTTATACAGAGAACATAGCCAATATGATCAAGCAAGCATGGATAAAAAAATAAAACCAGTCATTGCATGTATAAGAAGGTCGGATCCTATCATCATGTCTAGGGTTTTCAATTTGTTCAAATTTTAACAATCCAAATTCATGTGGTCATTCAAGGTGTAAACCCTAATATAATCCGGTTATAACCTATACTTTAAAACTCCATATTCAAAGCATATTAATGTGATCAGGCAAACATGGAAAAAAATTTTTAAAAAAAAAAAAAAAAAAAAAAAACCAAGTTATGCAAGAACAAGAAGATCGGATCACATATAAATAGGTTTTAGGGTTCCAATTTCACAACTTAACAAGTTCTATCAAGTTTGGTTCTTAAAAAAAATTTCAATCAACCACATAGTCTCAGGTACCTTAGTTCCATGTTTAAACTTGCAAGATAGGTTAAAAGATGGTCGTTTTAATTTTGGTGCAATTCCTAAGTCCAATGGGATTATGAATGCAAATCCTAAACCTAATAGGATTAGAACCAAAACAAGGGTTTTCCAAAAACTTTTAAAAATCCGAATCATGCAACCAGATAAAATCTATCAAGTACACATTACAAGCAGACTAAAGGTGCATAAGATCATGAAGTATCAAGCCAAGAACATCAGGATTTCAATTTTAGATTAAGGATCTAAGCAATTCGGATTTCAGGATCATGCGCATAGAGAAATTAGGGTTTTAGCAAAACTATCAATCCAACCATGGAAACCAATGAACCTAACACTCGTTTTTAATTTTAAACACAACTAGATAGATCATATTATGATTCTAGAATAAGCTTAGGTCGTGCAATTTACCATGAACAGAGATAAAAATTCAAACAACTCAGGTAGCAGATCATGCGCATAGAGACAGGTTAGGGTTTTACTAAAACTTTCAATTCAATCATGAAAACCAATGGACCTAGCACTCGTTTTTAATTTTAAACACAACTAGATAGGTTATATTATCATTCTAGAACAAGCCTAGGTCGTGCAATTTATCAGGAACGGATCAAAGAATTAAACCAACTTAGATGCAGTAGCAGGCGCATAGAAAGATAACTAGGGTTTTCAAAAATTTTATCAATTCATTCATTCAGCCAATTAGCCTAGCATTCAAACTCAATGATAAAGACATCTAGATGGATCATATTAGCAGTTAACAATAGACAAAGGTCGTGAAATAAGCAAGATCAGATCTAGGGTTTTCAAACAATCCGGTTACCAAATTCATGCGCATAAGAGAAAGAGAGAGAACATGATCATAAAAACTTCAGATCTATGAATACCAATGATCAAACAACATATAGTTCCAGTATGATCAATTTCAATGTTAGTTTAATAGATCTAGTGCAGCAAAAACGAATTTGGTCAGTCCTAAACAATAGTTTTAAAACAGGTTTCTAGAGTGAGAAAATCATCCGGTTTTAACAATTTTATGTCTAGGGCTTTCAAAATTATTTTACTCAATCATATAACCTCGAAATCAATTAGTATGAATCATTAAACATTCAACATGATATAACTTGATAAATAAAACAATCAAAACGAATTTATCAAGCATAGATTTCAGTTTTAGCAATTAGGGTTTTTAAGTTAACTTTTGCACATGAGAACAAGTTTGTTTCATGCGCATGAGTTAGGCTTTTAAGGGGATCAGGAATGAGTTTTAAACACAAGAATTGCTGTAGTTTATAATAAGGGGTCGAAATCTATGTTATTAGTTTCAAGATTATACCTCAAAATCACCAAAGTTTCTGGATGGACCTCCTTGGGCAGCCGGGTGGTATGTGAGGAGAGAGAGAGGTCGGATGAGATCTGTTGATGATTGTTTTTGCAGCTACAAGCTCCAAAGGTTGAGGTTGATGTTTGATTGCTTGAGATCGCCAAGGGATGAGAGAGAAGGCGGCTAGGGTTTTGTGGCTGTGCTCGGAATTTTGTGTATAGCTTAGGGTAGGCTCGTGCTGATAACGTGTTGAGATTTAGAAGGTTGTAACTTGTGTATTATTAATGAACCACGACCACATATATATATGGGTCTACAAACCGCCTCAAAAGGCTGGGATAAACATAAGCCCAATAGGATAAGGATTACAAGTAAAGAGATAATCATAAACCAATAAGGTTTATGATAACTACTACAATATCTAGGATAATAACAAGGAGATCCTGAGTGGATAAGTATGATGGATCTGGCCGCCTGGTACAGTAGTGGAGTGACACTGAAGTAGACTGAAGTGGACTGAAGTGAACTGAGCTTGGTCCATTTCCATTTCCAGGATATGTCCCAACCATCATTTCTTAACATGTATGCTACTCTTATCATATTATACTCCATGTTTTTCTTAATATACTATTACTCTATTAGTTATCCCCTGATCTATGTTTCTTGACCTCTGGCAACATTTGCTTCTCGATTTTTTTCAACTCTTCAGACTACTACTACTGCCCCACATTTCCTTTGTTTCAAACATTGGCAAGCTTTGCTTCTGCACTGGTTTTTGCTGGCTCAACCACAACATATGTTGTAACTGGCATCGTCTTGATTTTGACAGGTTTCCCTAGTTTGGTTGGTTTTGTCTTCCAGAGCTGCGAGTTGAAGGGCTTCAGCTCAATATAGTGGTTCCTTCATAGAACGCTGCAAATTGTCCAGCAGGTAGACCGTGGTCATCTTCATCTAGGTGTACAACCGCAACATCTCCTTCTGCTTCAATTTCAAAGCTGCACCCGTAGAAGCCAGGCCCATGCCGGACCTGTAAACTCAACTTATCCGTGCCAAGTAGCCATCGCCTGTAGAAAGCAATCGATCATATTCTTTTTTTACCTTGCAACGGAGCTGGCTAACTGATAGGTATCAACAAGTATACATTCGAAGGAAGAAGAATGGAGGGAAGGAAAAGACTTTAGTTGATACAGAAGGTTTAGATGTGGAGGGTTCGGGAGAGAAGAATCTGTTTGGAGTGGAGGGTTCGGCTACTAATGAATATTGAAGAGTTGAGCAAAGACTCCGATTCGATGGGAGGAGTTGCCGTTATAGCCGTTAGACTACTTTAAATAAGAGGATCGTTTGGATTGAGTCTTTTATGCTTGATATTGTAGATGATCTTAGACGTGATGAGTCTGAGCTCAAGTTCGTGATGAGAACTTGAGATCGAGTATTTGTTTTCAGATTTGTATTAGAGAGATACTAATCGAGTCTGTAAACTTTGTTATTCATTCAATACAAGAGTTTCTGAGTTTTACAAGTTTGAGATATCGAAAATCTATCATTGCTGCGGTGAGCGTGAAAAGTTCGAATCAACGCCACGTCGATGTCTCCGAGTGGTTCTCCGGTGCAATCGCGAGGTTCCGGCCTGAGTGATGATCGCGATAAGAAGACGAAAGGCAAATTGGAATTTTTGATGGGAGCTTATACGCGGCTGAAGGATGCTAACGATACGACGAATGAGACCTTGAGTTCGTTACAGAGAGATGTATCGGAGCTGACTACGGCGATGAACGCATTGACTAAGGCGCTTGGAAAACAACCGATTCAACAACCGTTGGATCACTCCGCGTCTCCGTCGTCGATCCAACAGGTACGATCTGATCAGTGGGAACGAAATCGGGATTCCGCATTAGGTTATTGATCTGAGGATTTGAATTTGGCGAATCGTGATAGTATGTTGAGGAAAGTAGAAATGCCTTTGCTGGATGGTTCGCGTACATATGAATGGCTGGTGGATGTAGAACATTTTTTTACGATAGGAAGGTACAGTGATGTAGCGAAGATGGAGCTAATTCCTCTATGTGTACAAGGTCCTGTGAAGAAATGGTTTGGTTGGCTGATTAAGCGAGATGGTTTTCGAGGTTGGAATGATTTCAAGGAGAGATTGGTCTTGCGGTTTGCTGAATCTATTGATGATGAACCAGAAACGAGGTTGTTTGCCTTGAGACAGACTAGTACGGTAGCTGCGTATATCTCTGAGTTTGAAGACCTATCTTCTCAAGTACCAGACCTTGAAGATCACCATTTGGAGAGAATTTTCTATAATGACTTATCTCCGGAGATGAAGGATCCTCAGGGTTTGCAGAACTATATTGCAGCGATTTTAAGAATGGAAACAAGTGCATTCTGCAAAGTGGTGAGTGGAAATGTTGCATCTGCTTCTGGAGTATCTAAATCTTGGTTGAAACAAGGGAGTAAAAACCAGGAAAAGTCTTCATTTCAACCCGAGGGCCGGAAAAATTTGGTAGTGGATGCAAAACAGAAGGAAGTAACTGGTTTGAAGTCAGGGCAACGTCCTCGTCAGAAATATTCAGATGCTGAGTTGGACAATATGCGTAGAGGAGGTGTGTGTTTTAAATGTGGAGCTAAGTGGTCAAGAGCTCATGCGGCGGTTTGTCCTAACAGAGAGTTGCGAGTCATGACGGTTATGAATGGATTTGATGTGGAGGTTTTGGAGGATCCTGACGAAGAAATTTTATGGACTGGTAATGGTTGTAAGGCGGAGCTTAAAACGTTGTCTTTTAATGCATTCTTGGGGATCAATTCTCCTAAGACAACAAAGTTAGTTGGCCAGATAGGTAACTGTGAGATGATAGTCTTGCTTGATTCAGGAGCATCCCACAATTTCATTTCCCCCGTTGTGAAGAGGCTACACTTGAGAGTTTATGCTGATAGGAGCCTAGATGTACTTCTTGGTAATGGAGTTATAGTTAAAGGATTGGGCAGATTTCAGAACAATTGAAGGTCATCATGAGTTCTTGGTGATGCCTTTTGGATTGACTAATGCTCCTGCCACATTCCAAGCTTTGATGAATCGTTTATTCAAACTGTTTCTTCGAAAGTTTGTTTTGGTTTTCTTTGATGATATTTTGATCTTCCGTCAGTCCATGGAGGTACATGTGGAACATCTTACGGCAGTCTTGAGTGTGTTTCATGAGCATACGTTGTTGGCTAACAAGAAAAAGTGTGTGTTTGGGTTGAAGGAGGTGGAGTATTTGGGGCACATCATTTCTTGTGCAGGGGTTTCTACTGAATCTACTAAGACTGCAGCAATGAGAGCTTGGCCTGTTCCCAAAACAATTAAGCAGCTTAGGGGCTTCTTGGGTCTGATAGGTTATTATAGATGCTTTGTGAGGAATTATGGTGTGTTGGCTAAGCCTCTAACAACGTTGCTGAAGAAAGATAAGTTTGAATGGTCTCATGAGGCAGCGGAAGCATTTGAGAAGTTGAAGAATGCTATGGTGACTGTTCCTGTATTAGCTTTGCCTGACTTTACTAAAACATTTATTGCCGAGTCCGATGCTTCTGGTTATGGTCTTGGTGCTGTGTTAATGCAAGACAAGAATCCGATTGCATTTTTTAGTCATGCGTTAACAGATAGGGAGCAGTTGAAGCCGACTTATGAAAGAGAGTTTATGGCAGTGGTGATGGCTGTACTCAAGTGGAAAAATTATTTGTTGGGAAGAAAGTTCATTGTGCATACTGATCAGAGGAGTTTAAAGTTTTTACTTGAGCAGAAGGAAGTCAATATGGAGTATCAGAGGTGGCTTACTAAACTGTTAGGCTATGACTTTGAGATTTTTTGCAAACTTGGATGTGAGAATAAAGCTGTGGATGGGTTGTCTCGTCGTATGGAGAAGGCTGTGGGATCTTCAAGTGTCTTGTTGTTGGTTTTAACGGTTCCTATGGCATTACAGCTACATGATCTTTACAGGGGAATTGATGTAGATGAGGAGTTACATAGGTTACTGAAGCGTGTTACAGAGGGGTGTGGGAATGCGCATTATCAGGTGTTGGATGGTCGAGTGTGGTACAAGAGGAGGTTGGTGTTACCTAAGCAGTCTCAGTTTATTCCAGTGCTATTGAGAGAGTTTCATGATAGCCAACTGGGTGGACATTCTAGAGTTTTAAAGACCGTCAAGCGCATTCAACAACAGTTCTATTGGGAAGGCATGATGAAGACAGTGCAGGATTATGTATCAGAATGCTTTGTTTGTCAAACTCATAAATATTCAACTTTGTCTCCAGCAGGATCGTTGCAACCTTTACCTGTTCCTGATCAGATTTGGGAGGATATTTCGTTGGATTTAATTGAAGGTTTGCCAACATCTCAGGGCATAAATGTGATCTTGGTGGTGGTAGATAGGCCCAGTAAGTATAGCCATTTTATTATGGATGTGGCATTGAAGTTTGTTAATGAAGTGGTTCGCTGACATGGGTTTCCAAGGAGCATTGTTTCGGATAGGGACCGTATTTTCCTCAGTGCTTTTTGGACTGACACGTTTAAACTAGCGGGGACAAAGCTGTAGTTTAGTACAGCATTCCATCCTCAGACTGATGGTCAGACAGAGGTCTTAAATCGTTGCTTGGAGACGTACTTGCGCTGCTTTGCTTCTTCACATCCGACGACTTGGCACAAGTTTCTTGCGTGGGCTGAGTTGTAGTATAATACGTCCTTTCACACATCACTGAAAGCTTCTCCTTTCTCGGTGGTTTATGGTCGTGAACCACCTTCACTGTTGCATTTTGAAGAAGGTTCTACTAAAAACTTTGAGTTGGAAACTGCGTTGAGAGAACGTGATGTTATGTTGGAACAGATACGTCTAAATCTTTTAAGAGCTCAGGAATTAATGAAGAAGTATGCGGATATTCATAGGAGGGATGTTGAGTTTGCTGTAGGTGATTCTGTGTTCTTGAAACTGAAGCCTTATAGGCAATAGTCGATGGTGAAACGTGTGTGTCAGAAGCTTGCTGCAAAGTTCTTTGGTCCATTTAAAATTGTGGCTCGAGTTGGTAAAACAGCTTACCGTCTTTTATTACCAGCTTCTTCTAAGATCCACCCTGTTTTCCATGTGTCTCAGTTGAAGTTGGCACTGGGTCAATGTTTGCGTATTACTCCTTTACCTATTGAGTTGTTACATGAAGTTGAGCAGCTGCGTGTTCCTGAGGAGGTGCTTGCTCATCGCTATAATGATGAGGGTCATTTGGAGTTATTGATTCACTGAAAGGATTGTCCCTCTCACGAGAATTCTTGGCTCTCGTATAAGGAGTTTGTTGATCAGTTTCCATTTTTTAAGCTTGAGGACAAGCTGAGTTTCAAAAGAAGGGAGTATTGATAGGTATCAACAAGTATACATTCGAAGGAAGAAGAATGGAGGGAAGGAAAAGACTTTAGTTGATACAGAAGGTTTAGATGTGGAGGGTTCGGGAGAGATGAATCTGTTTGGAGTGGAGGGTTCGGCTATTAATGAATATTGAAGAGTTGAGCAAAGACTCCGATTCGATGGGAGGGTTCGCCGTTATAGCCGTTAGACTACTTTAAATAAGAGGATCGTTTGGATTGAGTCTTTTATGCTTGATATTGTTGCTGATGTTAGACATGATGAGTCTGAGCTCAAGTTCGTGATGAAAACTTGAGATCGAGTATTTGTTTTCAGATTTGTATTTTGTATTAGAGAGATACTAATCGAGTCTGTAAACTTCGTTATTCATTTAATACAAGAGTTTCTGAGTTTTACAAGTTTGAGATATCGAAAATTTATCACTAACATTGTCTGAAGGTTTCACACTAAGCCATCTCAAGGAGCCAACACGGAAAATCAGCCTTCTCTTGTCGATTGACTAGTAGTTTCTTGAGACAAACACGACATTGTTCTTGGTGTCCTTCTCAACAACATACCTGCACAGAGATAGGGAGGAAATGATCTCATAGATACAATGTATTAAGATTTTAAGCTGGAACTAGAAACAATGGCAGAGATGTTAACCAGGGTCCACTGGGTAAACGCAAGCCTCGGCGTTGTCCAATAGTGTAAAACCAAAACCCCCGATGGTTACCGAGGAAATCGCCAGTTTCAGCTTCCAATATAACCTCTTCCATCTCTCCTATGTGTTTTCCGACAGAAGAAAATCATATCCATATGTTTCAGACTTCTAAGACTATCGTAAACCAAACGAGCAGACTAGAAAGTATACCTTCCCAAGAAGACATATTCCTTGTGAATCCTTTGTATCTTTATTTGGCAAATCAAATTGTGTGGCAAGTTTGCGAACTTCTTCCTGGAGATCACAAGGGCAAACAAATAAAATGGTTTTCATTTTGTGTTTCACAATTTTGCATACAGGCAACTTCCTCCAGTACCTTCTTAACGCAGCCAAGTGGGAATAGCAGTCGCTTAAGCTGATTTTGAGAGTATGAAGAACAACACAGCCTCAAGACATCTCCTTTAGCCAATACGTTCCTACCACCGACCAAGAATAAGCCTTCAAGACAAGATAGACACAAACGCAAAAGACTGTGTGAAACAGAGAAAGAAAACAGAGCACACAACAAGATGAAGAGGACAAGAACACAACAGAGATTGTTAACCCAGTTACATCCGTTAACTAGGGTGTTAGTCTGGGCCGGGAACTCACTCCCGGAATCCACTAGATCAGAGGTTACAAGAGAGATTTCACTCACCACAAAGCCCTTACAATGCTTCTCTCCGTCTCACTCTCTACCCCTTTCCCAAGAACTAAATACAAGTTTATGCTATGTATAAAGCTCTACTCTTTCTTCTCTCTGTGTTTTCTTATTCTCAGTACAATGTTTTTCTTATATAGTAAAGAACTCAATGACCTAGATGCCTCTTTGATTCCGTTTTGATTCCACTTCATTGCTCATCTTGTACGAACCAAATCAATGAACTCGGTCTTATCTTCTAGTTCAATACCCGACAAATAGCAGTTTGCTTTTGCCTTTATCAGCTGCAGCAAACGGCTAGACATGTGGTCCCGCAGCGAGGAAGCTCCACGTGGTTTTGTCATTAAAACATTGTTGCTTCTTCACCACGTTTGAGACCAACTTGATTCTTTCATGAGCTTATTCACTAAATCCCAACAATTCTCCACCTAGTGAATAAAGATCATAAACCATACTCAAACAGAAGCACATACCTGAGACATAGAGATTAACACTTGTGATCTAGTTGCAGGATTCCTATCCCGGATCCTGAGAAGGATTACTCAGTCTTCACCCTCAGTAAGTTCAGTGCGGTTTGAAACTTACTGACTGGTAAGACTTTTGTGAAGATATCAGCAGGATTGCTCAATGTAGATATCTTCAAAACACTCACATGACCATCGGCTATAACTTGTCTGATCTTGTGAAACTTAGTGTCCATCATGCTTGGTTCTTTCATGATGGACATTTTTCTTTGACAATGATATGACACTTTGAGAGTCACAGAAAATCTCAACCCTTCCCTGCTTATATCTGAATTCTCTGAGAATTCCCTTAAGCCACAATGCTTCTTTTACAGCATATGTAAGAGCCATATACTCAGCTTCAGTAGTTGATAAAGCTACCACTCGTTGAAGAGAAGATCTCCAACTGATTGTGTTTCCTCCTAGAGTGAACACTACACCACTGATAGATCTTCTACCATCCATGTCAGCTGCATAATCTGAGTCACAATACCCTCTAAGCACAGATTCTGACCCTTTCTTGTAGCAGAGTTTTGTCTCCAGTGTACCTTTGATGTATCTCAAAACCCATTTGACTCCTAACCAATGTTCTTTGATAGGATTCCCCATGAATCTGCTGATAATTCCCACTGGGTATGCTAGATCAGGTCTTGTACCAATCATAGAGTACATGATGTTTCCTACTGCATTAGCATAAGGAACCGACTTCATGTATTCTACATCACTTCTCAGTTGTTCTGGTGTAGCAGCTTTCAGCTTTAAGTGAGCACCTAATGGTGTTATCACTTTATTAGACCCATCCATCTTATACAACTCTAACACCTTTCTGAGATAGCTTTCTTGACCCATCCACAACTTCCCTGCAACTCGGTCTCTTTTGATCTCCATACCAAGAATTTTCTTGGCTGGCCCTAGATCTTTCATGTCAAACTTATCACTTAGCTTCTGCTTCAGATCAACAATGACTCTCTTGTCTTTAGCTGCCACCAACATATCATCCACATAGATGAGTAAATAGACCTTTGATTCATCTTCACATGTATTGATATACACGCAACTATCTCTGAGACTTTTGGTGAAACCAATCTCAGACATATACCCATCAAACTTCTGATTCCACATCCTTGGTGCTTGCTTAAGACCATACAGTGCTTTATTCAGAAGACAAACTTGATTTGATTTAAAACGATCTTCAAATCCTTCAGGAGGTTCCATGTAGATCTTTTCATCTAGCTCTCCATGCAAGAAGGCAGTCTTGACATCAAGCTGTTCAAGCTCTAGATCTTCTTCAACAACAACAGACAGTAATATCCTTATAAATACATGTCTGACTACTGGAGAAAAGATCTCAGTATAGTCAACTCCCTCTCTCTGAGCATAGCCTTTAGCAACAAGTCTACCCTTGTACCTTGGTGGTTCAACCCCTGGAATTCCAGATTTATATTTGTAAATCCAGCGGCAACCAATTACACGTTGTCCTTTTGGCCTCTCAACCACAATCCATGTATGATTCTTGTCCAGTGATACCATCTCATCACTCATTCCCTCTTTCCAGAACTCCCAATCATCACTAAGCCTTGCTTCTTGATAACTTCCAGGTTCTTTAATCTCTCCATCAACCGTAGTAATGAGTGCTTCTGCATCAAAGCAGTCATCTTCATCGTCAGTATCCTCACTAAAGTATCCCTCCACATCAAATCTCCTTGCAGCTCTTACTTCCCTTCTAGCTCTGTCTCTGACAAGATGATAACTCTCTGGTGATTCAACAGCTTCTTGATTCTGATTTTGATCTTGTTCATCTACATGTTCTGGATGATCAAGTTCTTCTTCTTCTGTAGCTTCAGTATCTTCAGTATCTTCAGTCTGACCATTCTCATCAGGTGTAGAGTCTCCCATGGATCCTATCTCTTCCGAGAGATCTCCACATGAACCTGCATCTTCAGTTCCCTCTGGATCAATGTTGAAAACAAACTCTGAACTTTCATACTGACTACCCTGAATCTGTTTCCCTCTCTGAACCACATCTTTGTATACAGCATTTTCCTGAAATATCACACTTCTACTAATCATACATTTCTTTTCTTCTAGCAACCAAACTTTGTAGCCTTTAACTCCTGATGGATAACCCAGCATCACAGCTTTCTTTGCTCTTGGTGTAAGCTTACCGTCATCAGTATGAGCAAAGCAAACACATCCAAACCTTCTCAGGTAGCTGTAACCAGGAGACTTCCCATACCATTTCTTGTCTGGAATCTCAAAATTTATTGCAGAAGAAGGAGTCTTGTTGATCAAGTTACTGCAGTCTGAGTTGCTTCGGCCCAAAAAGACTGAGGTAAACCTGAGTCACTCAACATATTTCTCACCTTTTCCATTATGGTCTGATTCATTCTCTCAGCAATACCACTTTGCTGAGGAGTGTATGCACATGTTCTATGCCTCAAAATTCCTTTTTCTTTGCAGAAATTGTTACACTTTGTGTTGCAGAACTCAAGACCGTTGTCAGTTCTCAGTATCTTGATCTTTCTCTCAACTTGATTCTCAACCATGGTACTCCATTCCACAAACGTGTCATATGCTTCATCCTTGTGCTTCAGAAATTACACCAAGGTCTTCCTAGTAAAGTCATCAATAAATGAGATGAAATATTGACACTTTCCCAAGGACAATGGTACGCTTGGTGCTCCCCATAAATCTGAATGGATGTAGTCTAAACGTTCCTTAGTATCATGAGTTGCTACTGAGAAACTGACTCTCTTTGCCTTACCATATACACAGTCTTCACACATCTCCATTACAGAGACCTTCCTTCTGTCTAGAAGACCTTTCCTGACCAATACGTCAATGTTCTTCTGACTCATGTGACCTAACCTTCTGTGCCATAAGACAGTATCATCACGCTTCTTCTCTGTTGCATACATCTGACCAACCTCTGGTTTTCCCTGCAGAATGTAGAGCTTCTCATACCTCTTTCCTTTCATAAGAGTTCTGGTTTCTTCTTTGACACTTAAGACCCCATTCTTTGATTCAAAACTGCATCCAAGTTCTTCTAATGTTCCCATAGATAGAAGATTTCTATCCATTTCAGGAATGTACCTCACACAAGTAAGCAGAAAAGTGGTACCATCCTCATTTTTGATCCTGATGTTACCAATTCCTTTCACCTTGGACGTAGTCTTGTTTCCCATACGATCAGATCCTCCAACATCTTCTCTCAAAGTTTCAAACAACTCCCTATTATGAGTCATATGATAACTGCATCCAGTGTCCATAACCCACTCGTTTTCAAGATTTATGTCTGTCAACAGCAGTGCTTCTGACACATACAAACCTGCAGCTTCATTCTTATTTTCTTTTACCATAGCAGCCTCACCTCTACTGCTACTCGCTTGTTGTTTAGACTTGTTTTGAAACTTGTTCTTGTTTGGATAAGTATTCCTGAAGTGACCCTCTTCTCCACAAGTCCAACACACTTTCTTGCTTTTAGACTTTGATCTTGACTTCGATTGTCTTGAAGCTCTGTCTCTGTAATCTGACCTTCCTCTTTGATCACCTCTGTCTCTGACATACAAGCTCTCAGCTTGTCCTTTTGAACTACGAGAGTTAGAACCATTCTCTAGTTCCTTAGCATATATGGCTGCAACAACTTCATCAAGCGTCAGTGTTGTTCTCCCTGAGCCATACCTTAAGGTATCTCGGAGTTGATCAAACTGTCTAGGTAGAGACATAAGTAGCAAGATTGCTTGGTCTTCATCAGACACCATAACACCAATGTTCTATAAATCCGTTATGAGATGAAGATACTCATCGATGTTACTCTCAATAGATGTGCTATCAGACATCTTGAATCCATAGAGCTTCTGTTTGAGGTAGAATCTATTTGGAAGAGCCTTAGCAAGATAGAGCTTATCCAGTGCTTTAATCATTCCAGCAGCCGTCTCTTCTTTCCTTATCTTCCTCAGAACTCTGTCTGTGACACTCAAGATGATAATACTTCTAGCTTTCTTCACTTTCTCAGCTAAAGTTTCTGCCTTTTCTTCAGCTTCTTTCTTATCTTCACTTGTCTCATCCGGATCTGAGACTTTCTCTGTTGGTTTCCCAGATTCTTCCAAAGCTTTGCTCAAGCCTTGAAGATCTATCTGAGCTAACAACTTGTCTTTCCACAGCGTATAATCCCCATGACCATCAAATTTCTCCAGCTTAATACTTGACGTTGTCTTGGCTTCTGTTTGACTGTTAAGTCTTCAGAAACCACCACCAGTTACTACAACCTGGTGCTCTGATACCAATCTGTGAAGAACAACACAGCCTCAAGACGTCTCCTTTAGCTCATACGTTCCTACCACACACCAAGAATAAGCCTTCAAGACAAGATAGACACAAACGCAAAAGACTGTGTGAAACAGAGAAAGAAAACAGAGCACACAACAAGATGAAGAGCACAAGAACACAACAGAGATTGTTAACCCAGTTACACCCGTTAACTAGGGTGTTAGTCTGGGCCGGGAACTCACTCCCGGAATCCACTAGATCAGAGGTTACAAGAGAGATTTCACTCACCACAAAGCCCTTAAAATTCTTCTCTTGGTCTCACTCTCTACCCCTTTCCCAAGAACTAAATACAAGTTTATGCTATGTTTAAAGCTCTACTCTTTCTTCTCTCTGTGTTTTCTTATTCTCAGTACAATGTTTTTCTTATATAGTAAAGAACTCAATGACCTAGATGCCTCTTTGATTCCGTTTTGATTCCACTTCATTGCTCATCTTGTACGAACCAAATCAATGAACTCGGTCTTATCTTCTAGTTCAATACCTGACAAATAGCAGTTTGCTTTTGCCTTTATCAGCTGCAGCAAACGACTAGACATGTGGTCCTGCAGCGAGGAAGATCCACGTGGTTTTGTCATTAAAACATTGTTGCTTCTTCACCACGTTTGAGACCAACTTGATTCTTTCATGAGCTTATTCACTAAATCCCAACAGAGAGAGATATGAGAGGAAGTAGGTCTGATCTTTCACCTGGAAAAAAAGAAGAAAAATAGAGAAGATTAAATGGCAGAGGTACCAAAAACCAAAAAAAATGTACCACAAGTAGACTGCAACACTAGGTACAATGCAAACATTCAACCTAATAAGTGACATTCTAAAGTCATGAGTGTCACCATGTCTAGAGATAGTTCCAAAACAGATGATGAATCACTTTGATCAACAGGAGGATGGGCAACTTTAGCATAGTCCTAAAGCTATATAGTCATACTCCATATCATTGATTGCATCCATGAATTCACCTGGGAATATAAAGTTAATCTATACCAGATAAGTCAAAAAAATAAATACTTTGAACTGAACACAAAAAAAAAAAAATTGCATACTTCAAATCGTCTTCCCAGGGACACTCGTTCTAGAAATTCTCAAAGCCTTCCTACGGAGCATCACAAACCCCCATGTTGTAGGCAGAGTCCGATACAAACACTGAGATGAATATTACGCAAACCTGGAACCAGATTTTGAGATAGAAAGCGGTACAGGAGTGTCCAACAGCGTGAAGGAGGCTGAGGGAAACGCTGCTATCGACGCCACCGCTGAGGAGGACGGCGACACGAAGAGGCTGGTTAGGCATGGAGCAGGAGAGGTGGTGGTCAGCGAGAAACGCATGGCTTTATTGGTCTATATTACAATTGGCTTCTGTAGCAGTTACAGCGCGGATGAGAAGGTTTAGGAGACAGAGAGTGAAAATGAAAGTGAAAGTGAACGTGAAAGTGAGAGGAGCCTAAGAAGAGTGAGAGAGATGAAGAAGAAGATATGGGCGAAACAGCACGGTAATGGAAAGAGTAAGGGCTTTTACAACAGCCGACAACATCGGTGTTCGATGGATTCTAGCTTTCACTCACATTTTTATTTAAATTTCTAGTTACTTATGTATGTATATTAAATTTAACTAGATTTTGATACGCACTTAAAAATCACAGATTTTTTTTCAAAAATATATGAATTTTTTTCCATTGAATTTCTATATAAGATAGTGTATAAGTTTGGATATATTTATTTGAAGCTGGACCGAACCGTATCAAATTGAAAACGAAAACCAAAATTGAACTGGATTTCACAAATAATCGAGCATTTTTAAACATGTTGGTCGTATATGACTCTGAATGGCTTATGTTCTTCAAATACCAACTGATATATTTTCATAAAATTTAGATTTAATGAAAATTTATTAATTAAAATTTAATAAATTTCAGAACGCCACCATTAATCTGTGAAACTGACACTAGTTTATCCAGCAAAAACTCAAAAAATATTATAATATTTTTTGAAAATTGATTTAACTTCTCATATATTTGATTTATCGTATAAAATAAATTCGTTGTATTTATGTTATACATTTTACTTTGTAGGTTTTGTAATGATCAATACTATTACAATTTTAATATAGATAACTAGATTTTGAGAAGCGCAGATTTTTTTTTGGTTCTAACTGTTTGTTATCAAATTATTCGATTTGTATTATTTGATAGATTTGTATGTGAAATTTGATGTATATTTAACCAAAAATATAGTGTGGGATAGATTTGTATGTGAAATTGATTGGAAGGAGCCAAAGCCATGTGAAATTTGTATGTGAAATTTGATTGGATGCAGCCAAAGCTCATAGTATGTGAAATTTGATTGGATGGAGCCAAAGCCCATAGTAAACTTGAAGAAATTCTTACTATAAAATTGGATGGATCCATAGCCCATAATCAAATTCAACCTAAGTTGTAAAATAATAACATCTACGATTAAAAATAATATAGTTTTAAAAATAGAAGAAATTCTAAATATAAACCATGATCTAACATGTAAAATCATACTACAAAATAGTGTAAAATTTGAAATATTTAAAATATTATTATAACAAAAGTCTTATCATATTTAAATAATCCACTGCATAAATACTTTCAAAAGAATATTATTAAACTATCCTATTATTATATTTGATTTTTGCATGTAGCAAAGTGGTCAAAAAGAGTAATATTTGACATGGATAAAATCAATAAATATACAAAATATTTTGGTGGAAAAATCTGAATATCAAACCAAAAATGTCAAATTATTACATCTTGGAAAGAACATCATTGAAGAAACTTTATAAAAGAATCGTTTTGGAAGATGAGATACTTGTCAATCATATCAGAAGTACATTTCGGAATTGTCAAAACAAAATCATAACAAACATATATTCTAAATTTAAGATTACTAAATAAGAAAAAGATAAAGTTTAAAAATCGGATAGTTTTTTAATAAAGAGAAAAGAAATATTGCGTATCTAATCATTAAACTTCTAAACACAACATAATCTATACTATTAAACCTAATAATAGTAAACATAACTAAAACCATTATTTCGAAACAAAAATAATCCTAAAACGCCTAAAATATGAGTAAATCAAGTAATAAATAAAGGAATAAGAGTAGATCAAACAATAATAAACATTAATAATAAAGTTTTTAATAAAACAAACCGGTTGTAAACAACCGGTATATAATGTTCAAATTAAAAAAAAAATGATTTAAAATAAACGTAAAACATTAAGTTTGAGATTTGGATTTGTTAGATGTTCAGTCATATATCATTGGCTCACCCAGCTTGAACAAATCGATAGTAGGAACCTGAACATCTTCAAGTTTGTCTTCGGCAAGGACCAGTTCAAACTCTGTCTTCTTCTTTTCATGGTACATGGAAAATGAGCTTCACATTCTTCAAGGAACTCAAGTTTCGCCTCAATGCAAACCTTATTGAGTTCCTACCGGTGTCTTGCCTCAATAGCTTTAGTATGGTCACGATACATCACCATCATATCCCTATAATGATGCATGGTCTCGAACCTACCCCTCTGGTAAGCCTCCTTCACGGTTTCTTCTTTTTCCTCCATCAGTTGACCTTTCATTTTGAGATCCTTGTTATCTACCATTGAGATACTTCTCAATGTTCAAGAAACAAAATATTAATTTTAGAAAACACATATAACAAATAAGGAAATATAATAAACCGTAAGATATAACATAAATTAACTATTAAGATTTGTAATCCCAAAATATCTTCTATATTTATTTCCTCTAAATTTAAAACTGTTAATAAAATATTCATAGAAGGGAAAACAAAACAGTAACTGAAAATCTAATCATAGACTGCCAATATTCAATAAAATAAGATTTGTAACCTAGCGACATATCAAAATTCAAGGCAGAACAGATCTAACAACAGAACAACATGTCTTATATGCTTTAGGATGAAAAAAACAAAGAAACAAACTATTAAGTTTAGGAAACAAATATGGAAATATAGTTCCCTAAACATTTATTATGTAGATGTAAGATCTAAAATAAATTCACATAAAATATATGTTAACCCTAAAATAACTTCTATAGTTAGATCCACAAAATTTAACAGGATTTATAAAATATTCAGACAATGGAACATAAAGCGTAACTGATACTATAACTCTAGAATGACAATATTCAATAAAATATGAACAAAGAACCTTTTATGACAGTTTATTCTAGCTAGATGATTCGAAACAGATTAAGATAGAACAAATCTAATAACAGAACAACATCTCTTAAAGAACAAAAGAATAGAAAGAACATAGAAAGAAAATACCGTTTTCCGATGAGAGAAAGATAAATGAAGAGATATTATGGTTATTGCAGTCAATCAAAGAGTCTTATATAGATAAGAACTAAACCTAAACATTAGTAGGTTTCAAGGTTTAACATAAATAGGTAATCTGACTAATAGCCCATCAGATATTAATAATTAAGAAGCCCAATATAATTGGGTCAAAAACTGGCATCTATTTTTGAAATGGATTAGATAAAAATTTCTATGATTTGATGAAATACATGATCCTGTTCATTATGAGATTTTTTGTAGATATAAAGTCGAATGATATGGTAGTTAAAATGTATAGATTTGGCTGCATGGTATCATATTCTGTTCATAATATAATATAGACTTTTGAAAACGAAAGTTAAACTAAATTTTAGAGATCAAATTCCTGAATTGGAAATGCATTCTATAGTATATAAAAATAAAAACAACGTTATTGAAAAAATCAGAGATTCTGGAAGATCTCTTTGTAAACGACATTCAATGTTTGTCTCTGAGGCTTCCCTTCATCGTCCACAATTAAAATCTCCAACCCCTTTTTGGATGTAATTCTTGAAATAGCCACATATAATTGGCTATGAGAAAAAACAGGCCTTGGTAGGTAGATGCCCATTTCTGATAGAAATTGTCTCTGACTCTTATTGATTGTAATAACAAACGCAACAGAAACATGAAGTTGCCTCCTCCTCATCTTGAAAGGTACCTTCTTGTCAGAAGGGATAATAGCAAGCCTAGGAATAAGAACTACTCGACCAACCTTATCCTTATCTCATGTAATAACTTTTTCCTTTATAATGTAAGGGTACATCTCTGTAACCTAAAGTCGCGTCCCATTCATTAATCCGCCAGTGGGATCTATGTTTCTGAGCAACATAATAGTACAACCAATCTTTAAGCTAAGACTATGGTTTGCAAACCTGGGAGTTTGATGGTATTTAAGAAATCTGGAGTAAGAGCTTGATCGTTAACTGAAAATTCATCTGAAGCATCTATCGTATCAGAACTTAAGAAGATCATTTCCTCACCTGAAATATTTAAAAAAATATTATGTTAACTTGATATATGAATGTACAATAATTCATATTGATAACATAAAATTAATAACTAACCATCGAGTTTATCCAACATGTGTTGATTAATCTTCTCGATATCCTAGTTAGTTGGATATAGTATTGCTCTCACTTGAAAAAATTTAGGTTCTTTATTCTGTTGTAAAGAAACAACATCACCATACACAGCTTGGCTTATAAACTCAATAGAATCTTCTACATCAAGAATAAGAAACTCTTCAGGAATATCCGAGTAACATACGTGACTTTGGTACTTTCTATGGTTTAAAAATGGAAGAAAACTGACCAATAAGGAAGTTTGTATCTATGGTACTTTCTATGGTTTTGAAATCAACCAGATCAAGAAACATGTTATCATCACGGTGTGTAGAATCGCAGATCTTGGTGGTGCCATTAAAAGCTATGCGATACTTATGCTGAGTTGATCTGTATGCTCCACCAGCGGCAAACACACTGAAACCATCAATGTTCCTCCATACTCCTACACGAATATGTTTTGCCAATTCAGGAATGTATGCCTTGTTACACGAGGCATGAATCTTAGGTCCCTATATAAAAATAAATAAAACATTATAATTTAGTTTAAACTTTTACGAAATGAAATGAATATGTATATGCATAATTATATAAAAACAATAAACTTACATTTGCATCACAAAGGATCAGTTCCATGGTCTCGCTTATGTCTTTCATGAAATGTCTCCATGTATGAAGGATTTTGACTTGGATGCGACATGCATTTTTCCTCGGTTTGATATCGCTCAAGAAAGACAACTGCAAATTATTCGCCATTTTTGTTTTAGGTTTTTGAAGGAATGATGAATATAGTGGTTAAGAGATGCTATATTTATAATAGCTAGGGACGATAACTATTTTATGTTACGAAAATGTAGGGAA